CAACCCGCTGGGTACCCGGACCCGCCGTCCGGTGGACATCCGGCGCCGCCGCCTCAGCAAGGGTACGGTTATCCGCCACCCGCTGCGGCACCGGGATACGCTTATCCGCAGTACCAGGCGGCGCAGCCCGGGTACGGGTACGCGATGCCGCCGCCGCAGAAGCCGAAGAAGGGCTTCGGAGGTATGGGGCTCGGACTCGGAGCGGGTTTGCTGGGCGGGTTGTTGATTGGGGATATGGTGTCTGATGTAGGCGAAATGGCTGCTTATGATGCTGGTTTTGATGATGCTGGCTTTGATTTCTAGTTTTTTTTTTTTTGTTTTTGTTTTTTTTTTTGCACCCATTTAGTGCAGTACTGTAAACGGAAGGGTTGAAGTTTTTCTGAATGGTATGGAAATGGAATAAAAGTGGTTTTTATATTTCTCGTGTTTTGTACATATAATTGAGCGTGATTCTTCTTCTGCTGGAAGAGTTTTGGTGCAATATCTGCTTCTTATATCTCGATTGCTTTATTTCAATGCAAATATCAATTGTAAGCTACGTGGTATCTCTTATTCTATTCCAGGTAACTTTTCAGGGACTCGTTTGAGAGAGTTTAAGTGCTAGAAGAATTTACCAGCAAAAAAAAAGGGTAGTAGAAGAAACACAAATTTCCGCTGTAAAATAGTAACTGTATTATTAACATTTGAGTGTTCAATTTGAATGGCGTTTTTCTTTTTTCTTTACCTTGTTATTTACATTGAACTGCAATATTTAGTCTTATCAAGAAAAGAACAAAGCGAGGCATAGTTTAGTGGTAATAGAGTTCGAATCTCTTCACTTTCAAAAAAAAAAAAAAAAAAAACAAATTAAGATGCTATGGCAGCGGAAAAAAATCACTAGCGAAAATATTTCTGTTATCTTCTTTCAATTTCGATTTCAAATGAATATTACAAGGTAATAGCCTTCAACCCCACTCAATTTCACGACTCAACTTGAAAACAAGATCGCTTCCAAATTTCAAAACCCCAAGAATAAGTAGAGAAATAAATCCAAACTTTTGAATTTTCAAAATCCTAAAATAAATACAAACAAAATTCCCAAAAATAAATTCCAAACTTTTGAGTGGATTTCATATTAAGACGAGACATGGCATCAAAAACTTTCATAAGTCAATTTTTGGCTTGACTTTTACTCGTCAATTGTGTCTTCATTAGAATTGATTATTGGGCATAAATCAAGTCTATCACCATCTTCCTCCTCATCACTTGTATCATAAATTAGACCAAAATCAAATTAGTCGTATACTTTTTTGGTATGATATGAATTGAGTTCTTTGTCTTCAAACTCTCCACCCACACCCGCAGGTAAGGATTAGGAGTTTCTTTTTGTTAAGTAGTAATTTGATGAGTTAGCAACGCAACTTGTCCTTGCAATCAGGGGCGGAGCCACTTGAGGCCCGAGGGCAGTTGCTCCCCCTCAGTTCATGTGGCTCCTTTAAGTTTTCGTCTTGAAAATTTTTTTCTTACACTTTTGCCTCCTTCAAATTTATAGTTCACATGTTTTAAGTAGTTTCCATTATCTTTCAAATCCTAGTTTCATATATAATTATATTTAATCAAACTTTTTAGATTTTTAAATTATATTTTAAATTTTGACTCTCAAGAATACTAGGCTTGTTCTTTTAGAGTCTAACTTGAGTATAATTCTTAAGTTGAATTTGAATTATAACTTGAGTTGAACTTGTAACTTGAGTTTGTGTTTGATTGTGTACATTTGAGTTATGGTTTGAGATAAAAATCTTTTTGAGTTTGTGTTTGAGTGAGTCAAAACTTGAATTTGTATTTAGAATAGTATTTTAATAAAAACTCAATGCTAATGAAAAATTTTAATAGGGTATATGGGTCGGGTTTTATTCGTCTTTTCGTTGTCAACGCATAGAAAAAAAATCATCTCAATCAGAATTAAAACGAAAAAGTTATATAGTATTTTTAAGAATAGAAAAAATACTGTTCATTAATTTGAGTTCGAGTTTCTGAATTCGAGTTGAAGGGAAAACTTAAACTTGAGTTGTAGTCCTAAACTCAAGTTTGAACTCAAGTTTAAACTCGAATTTAAACTTAAAAGAATATGAACTCGAATAAAGTTGTAACTCGAGTTACTTTTTTTTTAAGTTTTTCACTCAAAAGAACAAGCCCCTAATAACTCAAACTTAAAATTCTAATAAAAGCAAAAATTAACCACACCACTATAAAAATTCATAATGTTACTGACTTTGAAAAGATAAGAGAGAAAGTCACAGCGCTATAAAATATATATATATATATATATATATATATATGATACTTGCATAGTTATTTTCCTTTAAAAATTTTATTTAACCCTGAAATTTTTTTTTGGCTTTGTCACTACTCGTAGTCGTGTGTTTTTGCCTTAACCCCACTCTTTTGCTTCTACATATTATCACTATTTTTGTCAAATTTTAATCCACTTCTTTCAAATAACTTAAAATTAGCACATTACAGTACTACGTACAAACTTATATATTATTTGATTAAATGTAACAAAAAATTCTTGTCGTATATAATTTTTGTGAAACGTAATTGTTATATATGTTTTGTTTTCATTGGCGTTTTATAAATACGCTAAAGTAAATATTCGCCTACTTCCATTATTTGTTTTTTTTTTAATAACTTTTGTCAAATGGGAGAGATATTATCATTTGGAAATCAATTGTAACGCACGACGTTCCATAATTCTTAAAAGAGCTACGTAATATAAGCCGGGTTTAGTGGATGGAATTGAATATGATTGTTACTTACTTAGTTACATTTATTAGATTTAATTGATGATGTTTAAACTATCTTAGCGTAATACTACATTGAATTATATTAATATTGATTTGTTTAATTTAAACAATTAAATTCTTAAATTTTAAAAAATTTAATCTAAATAAAGATTGTATTTAGATTGAGGTTGTTTAAAGGAATTGGTTATCGCATGTATAATTTACACCGTAAAATTTAAATGTCATAAATTTTAAATTACATATATGGTGATTTTAAATTTTAAATTTAATTTAAATGTCATTATTTTAAATTAATTTAGATACCTCTTTGAGTGATTTAATTAGTTTTTCCAATCTTTATTCTTTTATTTCATATCTCATAAAACATCTTTTTGTTAAAAATGTAAGTAACAAAAACCATAACATTGCAAGAGTTCTTAACAAAAATGAAAGCAACTAAAACATCAACATAATAAGAATTCTAGTTAAGAGTGACAGATATAGTAAAATAAACAAATAATAAAAGAATAATTGACATAGATGGTCCATAACTTATTTAGTAAGTAATAGTTTAGAGAACGTTTAGAAGGGAGATTCGTGTCATGATTCGTAGCTCGTTACAATATTTTTTCTCATAAAAAACAGACATAAAATGAAAATAATTCTGCATCATAATTCTAGAATTCACGAATCAAACGTCCCTTCAGTTCTTTTTTTAAAAGGAAAATTGCAGTAAATAAGTTAACATTTAAAACATTTAGAAGTAAATAACTAATTTACTAATCATTAGAAAATAAAAGACGAATTTTTATTTTAAAAATTCTATTTTCCAATTTACCCTTTCATATAGGCTTTTTCCCCTTTTCTTCTCAAACCCACTCTCTCTCTCTCTCCCTCACCTTCGAATAGTACTCTCCAAATCTCTCCCCCTCCCTCCCGCCGGCTCTCTCTCTCTCCTCTCCCCCTTCCTCCCGTCGGCTCTCTCTCTCCTCTACCCCTCCCTCCCGTCGGCTCTGTCTCTCCTCTCCCCTCCCTCATGCTGGCTCTCTCTCCCCCTCTCCCCCTCTCCCCCAACTGCGATCCTCGGCATTGGGCAGGCCAACGTCACCCCGTCTTTTCAGCACAGTTCAAACGTCGTCGTCTCTCCGTCGTCCTCGCGACGATCGCGTCATTGGGGCTTTGTGAAGCTTGTCGCCATCAGTCAGCCTTGTGACGGCGCCAGAAAATCACGATGTTCACCTTTGCGAGAAAGAGTGGAGAGAGAGAGAGAGAGATGAGAGAGAGCATCTCATCTTAGCATGGGTGTTTGGGTTTTTTTAGAGGAGAAAAATAAGTTTAAGTCTTGTTTATTTTATTTTTATCACAGTAACAAATATTTAAAAACAGTCATATTTAATTTTTTTATTATAATAAAAAAATTTTATATAAAATTATATCTTAATTCAAATTAAAAATTTAAATTAGCGAATTAAACAAACTCTAAAATTATTGTATTTTTATAAGAGTTACTTTTAAAAATTAAAAAGGGTACTTTTAGAAATTTAAATAGGTGTAAATCAAGATTTGCATCTAATTGGCTTATTTATAACCATTTTTAAATTTTAGTCTATTAATTTTTATTACTCTATCAATTAAGCATATTTTCCTCCTTTCTTTTTATAATCTTTGACAAAACACAATCTAATCTTTAATTAGCAGCAACTAGCACCTTTTCATCTAATTCCGTTAAGTTTTTAACGGATTTGATCACGTGCACAAATTGACATAGAAGGGTATTTTAGTATAATGCATAAAATATAATCTTAAAAAAAAAAATCACAGAACAAAGTATATGCAAAAGAAAGTAAAAGAAAAAAGAAAGAAAGACCCAACTCCTCTCCCTAATATTTGGATGATAATCATTGCAACGCAGTAAGTTCAATAATTCTTGAAAGAGCAATCTAATAGGTTGGGTTTGGAGGATGGAATTGAATATGACTGTTACTTACTACTTGTACTAATTTAGTTTAATTGGTTTATATTTAAACTATGTTATATTGGGTGTAGTACTTCATAATCTTCTGAGGGAAACAAGCCTTCGTCCAACCAAGCCAGAGGCCGAATCGAGGAAAACAAACTAATCACATAATTAGAGTCGTATTTTTTCTTCTTTTGGATTTTCTTTTTCTATAACATATATAGAAAGCACAATAAGGTTCATATAGCTTCTCTCATAATACACTATTCAAAGTCATGATCAAGTTGTTTTGTCTTTTAGTGCTTTTGTGTTTCTTTTTTATTTTATTACTAGTTGGACTCCTCATTCTATCTATGCAAGTGGAGCATCTGTGTTGTGTGTTAAGTTATAATTATCTTATAATTATTAAAACATATAAAATATGAATAAAATTTAAGAAAAATGAAAAAAAAGAGATTCGTTAAAATACACATTTCAATTAAACTTGTGTTAAAGTCGAATATTATATATGTATAGATAAGTATAATATATTACTGCTGAAACTATTTTGTTAAAAAATTAATCAAATTGTATATAAAAAAACTTCAAATGAGGATGTATTTGAAATAATTATTTTAGTGGGGTAAAAAAGATATTTTAAGGGCTATATTTGTTAAATGTATATTTTAGAGAATTGAAATAAAAGGTAGAAAAGAAAGTTAAAAAAAAAAAAA